ACTTTGAAACACATTTTTCAAACCATACAGTTACACAATAGAAGTCGTATAAATATTTTTTATGTTGATTTGTAGAGGAACGATACTTGATGAATAATTTCGTTGTGAGAGATCCGGTGGCATCGGATATGGTGAATATTTAGTAATTTGGAACGCGATTTTAACTACGGATGAATTAAAGTTTAATTATTTGATATTAAACTGTTCCATGGCCGTAATATTTAATCACTTGCATCGGTACATGTTTGATGGAAGTTATTCGAATTCATTGTACTCAATTTACTTAATTGCGGGCTCGATTTGTCTTACAAACGTGAAAAATTAAATTCGCATAAATAAACACTCAAGCCAGTAGAAAATTACGAACAAATTAATTTTTCATTATAGTATTCATTATTATGAAATACACGTTGAGAGGTTAAGTACTCCCTTAAAGAACTGCTATAAAAAATGTATTTAGAAAAATTAATTTTGTAATTTTGTAATTTAAATAATTTTTTGTTAATTGTAATAACTTTTCTCAATGCATATCAATATTCTTAACAATCATCCATTCCAATTAATGATATTTTACTTTACATTTTATACATTCGCTATACGTAACCTAAAAATTCCATTAAAAAACTTCACAAGTACCCCTTTATATATTACTGCAAAGGTCAACTTCAGTAAATCCAAAACCACCTTCCAAGTTAATTTCTTATTCGTAAGATGTTTCAGCATTCATGAAAAGAAACGCAGTTAAGAGGCTGAGTAATTACTGTCTAATTTCATACAACACCACGTTAAAAGCGAAGCCTTTCAAACGAAGCATCTTACTAAATAAAAATACCAAAAATATTGCGTGATCGTCAGTGAAAAGTTTTCAAAAAAATACCATCAGCGAACGCATTAACTATAGCCCTAAACGCGCGAAGAGGTATTAAACGTGCCTACGGACCATCTTGCAAATAAATTACCCGAAGATAATTACCTTCATCCCCTACTGCGACCACTATTACTCGAAGCAAGATGCAAATGCATCGAATCCGCCCGCTCCGGAACGAGCTTTTCCGCTCTTAGCTGCCGCTACAACCCTCAAACATCGATCTTCTCTGTGCAGGAGGAGCCTGCTCCTAAATCCCGTCTTCCAATTCCGAGCGTAAATTAGCTCCACCGTGCTGGATGCACCCGAAAATCAAAGATAATCCCGAGTGGCTGATCCAGGGCTTTGTCAAGAGAAGCTTATACTATTTTTTGAATATCTTTCTAACTTATCGAGAACTGTTTCCACGAAGATTGGAACATTGTACATATTTGTGAATAAATTGTTGTAGTTGAAGTTATTGTTTATTGAAATAATGTCGCGAGTACACCGCGACGTCATCATATTTAAAAATTATTGAAATTGGTAAGGGAGTAGTGAATCTACAAGTTGACGATATTTTACGGTATTTTCACGTAAAAAAATTCGAAATACAGTCGATTCATTCGTCTATTTTTAAGCAAGTAATAAAGAAGATGAAAATAAATAATTAAAAGGAAAACAAATACATAAACTTAATTTAATACTAAGAAATGATAGACTGGTACTTTTAAGTACATAGTGTAACGGAGAAGCGCGATCGCGCAGTTTGGCACTCAAATGGTTTTTGGTTATTTTCGAAACCTTTACAATCCCTAGTTTTAATACGTCAAAGTGAAACAAAAAAAGGATTGGTAGTCTAAAGGTTAACTCCCGACCCCCGTGCGAATTCGCCACCGACAATTTCGTTCCGTTTGATTCGTGCGTTTTCGTTTGCCTCCCCGCGACGAAGAAATCCCCGTCGGGCATGTCTCTGCTTAGTGTCAACCGGTCGTAATGAGATTTACTGTAACACTGAGTCATCGAATCGAGCATAGATATACGATCGAATTTGTGATTGAGCCCGAGATCGACGTTCCTGTCGCGTGCTCCGTGTTGTTAGATAAGTTAATACGCCATACTGTTTATACGCGGTGTCAATTCGCGCGTTCGAGAATTACCTTTAGCCATGTACAAGAGTTCTAATAATAAAATAATACAAAGTTCTAAAGGTTCTAATAAAAATCCTTTGAACAAGGCTCTCGAGTGCTTAGTCACGTGTCTGTCATGAGATTGTCTCTCACTGCGTTTCTTTGTAAAACTATTGAGTTAGTTCATGCTCCAGAATCTTGCAATATTGAATCCAATAAAGTGAATCGTTGAAAAGTGGGTGAATCCTATTTTCCCCGTCGATCCACTACGTAACAGCATCCTTGACGAAACGGCCGCGTGTTCGCGCATACTGTTAGGCGATGACTTGACGTCTAGCGTGACAAGGGCAAGATGGATGTTTTTCTAAGTGTTTTTCTTATAGTTTTGATTGGTTACGTGTAAACGTATCGACGAATAGCAAATTGACATCGATAATAAGACGAGATAAAAACTAATCGATCAGACCTGGATTCCTCAGCGTACCCATCTACTATCTCTTCACGACTTAACGACTAGCGGGACAGTACAGGAGCAAGCTGGGACTCTGGCTATGAGATTTGTTTATAGTTTTGATCAGTTACGTGTAATCGTATTGACGAATAGCAAATTACAATCGAAGATAAGATAAAAAATGACCAATTAGACCAGCATTGCTCTCCTAACAAGAAGTGTCTTTCTAGTTTACGGTTTTATAGTTTACATTCTATGTAATATTCTATTAAGTTCTAATTATATAATTAGAAAATGTGAGAAAGTACGAAACAAAATCAATAGAAAACTAGGTATGAAAAGATGAAAACTGATCGATCAACCACATTCCTCAGCCTAGCTATTTAGCGATCTCCCAACAGTACGTATGCGAACCCTGTGGGTCTCGGATAGGGATACGACCGTGTCTCCAGGGCGTCACTAGTCATTTATCGGGGAGGATCAGTAACATCCAGCTGGATTAGTAACTCCCTAGTGACATATGTATACACATGTGCCAGGGCTGGGGTGGTCACGGGGCACGGAACGCGCTGGGTTTTCCCCGGCGCCCATTGTGCCTCGAGTCTTCTCCGCGCAGTCGGGGGCTCGAGTGCCACTTTGTCTATTTGTATGCTAAATTTCGTCCTTTGATTCGTCGATGCGAGAGTGCACCGGGGAATTACTTTATTCGAATGGTGCCGGATCAACGGGCGAATCTTGAAGGATTTGTGATATAGAGGGTGTTTCAGTGCGAATTAGTACTGAATTATCTGCTGCTTCTAGAGATACGAAGAAAGTTGATTAACAAAACATTTTCAATATAAAAGGGGCTATAATGTCGTAGTGACAATATTTTTGTAGATGGAAGAGTTTCGGAAATGTTAATGTCACTTTGAATTTGTTAAATGTTATATATTTTTGTGTAGATTATTCTATGTAGCTCCGTTATTAATACAACACTTGCGATCAACATCATTCGCTGTTTATGTATTATTTATATACCTTTACAACGTAAATCTATCTAAAACTGCAATAAACCGCGTAAGAGATATACAAATTATAATACTTTCACGATTTCTTATGTTTTACTCGCCAAAACATAATTACCAAATTGAATTACAAATTACCAAAAAATATTGATACTCACGTATAACCCTGAAGTTTCATTTATTACATTGTATTTTCCATGTACCAAGAAAAATTAACGCGTACGATAAACATATGATTCAACTAACTTAAGAGACTTGTTCATCTTCAGAAACGTAAACAAATTCGACGTTTCTCTTTAGTGTAACTGTACATTTAATACACAACAGAATGACTTTATTACTTTCTGAAAACAGTTCACCTGGCGAGTATGTTATTACCGGAGTAATAATATCCAAGTCGTCAGCCGCGGAGCGCAAACAAAAAAATACATGAATGTTTCGTTTTAATAATCGTTTGAACGAAAGTTTATCGATATAACGTCTAGGCCTCGTTACAATCCTCGCCTTGGCTTCAGTTCCTTTACGTCTTGCCGGTTCGTACAGAAACGTTAGTCCAGCCGCTGTAATTATCGCCATTTACTTTTCATATTTTCATGGGTTCAGTCCACGGTTTCTCGTTTGTTTGCTCTTTCGCAGATCGTAAGTCGACGTACCGGTGTCACAGCGCCGGCTGCCGCTTGTTAATTAACCGCTAGCCAACCTTTAATTATCGTGGTTTTTCCTGTGGCGCGAAACTTGCTCGCGCATCGATGGAATGCGACAAGAGCGACGATGGCAATTTTGCACATGCTAGTTTTTGTTGCATCGGAAAGTCGCGAATCGGGCGCGACTCGGGTTCAAGGGCAGTAGCGGTTCAACATTTGAATCGTGAAGGTTTAAACAAATTCAGGGTAATGTATTTATTGTTGATTTAAATTTAATTTTAGTTTATTTATTTGAGGGTATGATGATTTTCGATCAGATTTTAGCGAAATTTTTGTTTTCTTTCCGACTTTAAGTAAAGATATATATATATATCGTTTCAGATTCGTATACAAAAAATTGAGTTCTGGAAACGATTCTTCGAAATGAAACAATTGAAATACTTATTACCTTCATGGAAACTTTCATTTTTTCCATAAATTACTTCAATCAATTTTTGTTTAATTTCCTTTTGTTTACTGATATTCATAATAGTGAAACACTTATTGGCAACTGTACTTTATATGTAAGGATCAAATGAAATTACATAATTAACGTAACTAACACAATTAAATTATATAATTAAATATTATAATGTTCTATCCAGTACATATAAAATATTAGGTCTACCGAAATGTTTTGTCTGTTTTTTAATGAAAAGAAAATAATACATTTTCAATACATCTATTAGTCTTTATTGAACAGTATAATTTCCATTGTTACTAACGACGACCTGTTCCCACCGTGATGGTAATTGGTGCGTTCTATTTCTGTAGACATACTATTTTTCAGTTTATTCGTCGATGATGGATTTTTCAAAAGTAAAATTATTGTTAAATAATTTTTGAATGCTGCTTAATGAAGTACATAAAATTATGTTTGAATTAAATAATCGAGTCACTTCTAGCGATACTGCAATGCCAGCCGACTCAAACGAATATGGAGCAAGCTCCTACAATCCGTCAACTTCCAAAAAACAGTTAATAATCTGACTCCGCATTGCGGAGTGTATCAGATATTAAGCTGATAAGAACAGATACTACACCTTTGATCTTAGCTCATTGAGCCGAGAAGCGATACTGCAGCTTAATTCTGTACCCCTTATAAGGCTTCACCCTACAAAAATGTCTAGCGAGAATACCATTTTCGAATTCGCCATCTAGTGGTCCAAACCTTGAGATGTTACGCTCGGAAATCTTTCAAAATGGAGGCCAAACACAGTAAATTTTTCATAAATGATATAACTCTTTAGTTACACATAAATTTGTAACCGTTAAACAGTTTAAGATTGTCTTTTACATCGTTTAGAATGTGTATTGTAATTATAATTTAATTATTCACTGAAATTGAAAAATCACAAAATTATCCACGAAAAATGAAAATCATTAATATTTAACAAATTACTAAAAATTACGTACAGACTTTAGGATCTATAAATTTCCAAAATAAAATTAACAACTTACTTAAAAAGTGGAAATTTCAATAATAACAATTTTTCATTCTAGAGTCACTGATTATTTCATTTTAATTGCTATCAATACCAATATTAAATCTGTAATTTATTATTCTTTGTATTACTTTCACTGTTTACAAATTTAAACAACGGTTGTTAAATAATATCAAATTATCAATTTACTTCTGTTTCAAAACCATAAAAATATGATAAACGTTAAAAACATGTTTAAATAATTTTTTTGTAATTATAGTAAATATAGTAGTCAAGGTAACATCAGTGCAGTCAAACTTTTAGAGATAATTGTAAATACTCTCTGAATTTTAGCCAACGCAGTAAATAAATGTATATTCTTCAGTTTTGCGTTTCTATTACTATTACTGTTGCGCCCTCTGTATTTTTATTTTTCCTATGTTTCCTGGAGAATAAGCCGTCCTCGTTTTATCTGCCCGTAGCTGAGTGTCATGCATAGATATTATTGAACATGAAAATCCCGCCACGATGTTTACATTTCAATAGGAACGACTCTTGAAAAGAAAATACTATGTAACATCGCGAACCAGTTCGAACCTCTTCAGTTAAGGGATGGAAATACGATAATGCTTCAGTTTGTTCAACGTTTCCCTTTTTAAGCAGATAATATTTTGGTAATTCATTTTATACTCTCTTAAACGTTATCTGTTCTCTCGAGCAACGAGCAGAGAAAAGAAGTGAACAGGAAAAGGTCGAGATGCGATTTTATTTCGGTTACTACCGTGTTAAAAGCCAGAAAAGAATTAGTTTTACTTCTAGAAATTTTTATCCTTTAAAATTTACTACATTCAAATTTTCATAACTATTTCATCTTGGTTTTGATTTAGTTGAATTAAAATGAATTATTACATAGAAGATATTTATCTTGAATTTTCTTTAGAATACTTACGAAGAAACTTTGCGAGTCATAGAGAATTTTTGGTTATAGAAAACTATAATTTTAATGGAACAATGTTTTGAATTACGAAATATTTATGTTTTAAATATTAGAACATAAATACGAGGCTTGTATGTAAAGAAATAGAATCTTCTCATTTATTATCATCAATGAAAATAATTTTTGCTGGAAGTAGATACTAAACATGAAAACAATTCGACTTATAAGGTTTCTGTATTTCGAGCTGTAAAGATTTTTATAATGGAACTGAAAGGAACGAAAAAAGGTTTCATTATATAAATTTTCGAGTTACTTAGATTTCCAATCTAGATTCGACTGTAAGTACAAAGAAAATCCAATCACAACCATCTAATAGACAAACTTTTCCTTGGTATCTTGAGGACACCGAATAATCACCCCCGATCGCCGGAAACACGATAGGTTAGCCATAGAGCGGCGGTGTCGAAAAGATAAAAGGCGGTCGCGGTATAATGCAGCTGGTTTCGTGAATTAAAGCAGCACGCGATACCACTATTACATTCTTTCACGGTATGAATCGAATAGTACTATAGTAGTGGGCTCGTAGTAGGGGGGTGAGTGGGTGGGTGGCGGAGTAGGACTGGTAACGGGGAGCGGCGCGGCGCGGCGATGCGAAGCAGGTTTCGAAGTGAAAAA